CTCGAGGCGGCGTGCGGGAGGCGGCGATGGTGGCAGTGGGGGCTCGAGGCGGCGTGCGGGAGGCGGCGATGGTGCGGTGAGGCGCGTATATAAAGGGGGCGGTGTGGGGCGGCTTGGAGGAGGGGCAAGGTGGTGGCGACGAAGTCCGGCTCGGACTCATCGTCCGAGTCGGCGGCGGCGCGCGCCCGCGCAGGATGCAGCGGCGGCGGCCTGGCGCGGCTGGGCCTTAGGACCAGTCGGCGCGGGAACCCTTTTTTTTAAACTTCGCCGACCGAATTAAAATCCTAGAAAAAAATAAAAACTTAAAAATGCCAAAGAAAATTTTCACCGTCTAAATAAAATATTTAGGACGAGTTGAACATTTTCTTGGCCCTAAAATGCAATTTTTGAAAACGTGTAATTTTTCTAATGCAAATAAAATCCGAATAAAACCAAATAAAACCCAATAAATTATTTTTATATTTTTCCTCCAATATTTCAATTATTTTGGAGAAGTCATATTATCTCCACTCATTGAATTTAATATGAAATATTTTTTCGGAGAGAAGAAAATTATTAAAATCAAAATCCTCGTTTCATTATTTGATAAAAATCAAATATGACAACCGGAAAATCCCCAACTCTCTCTCCGTGGGTCCTTGAGTTGTTTAGGATCTTGAGGATTGCGAAACGGAAATGCAATAAATCATGATATGCATGATGATCTATGTATAACATTCCAAATTGAAAATTTGGGATGTTACAAAAGATGTCGATAATGATATTGTTAAATTGAAGCTATTTCTTTTTTCGCTTAGAGATCGTGCTAAAGCTTGGTTTTCATCTTTGCCTAAAAATAGTATTGATTCATGAAATAAGTGCAAAGATGCTTTTATCTCTAAGTATTTTCCTCCCGCTAAGATCATCTCTTTCAGAAATGATATTATGAATTTTAAGCAACTTGATCATGAACATGTTGCACAATCTTGGGAGAGAATGAAATTAATGATACGTAATTGCCCTACTCATGGTTTGAATTTTTGGATGATTATACAAAAATTTTATGCCGGATTGAATTTTGCTTCTAGAAATCTTTTAGATTCGGCCGCGGGAGGCATTTTTATGGAAATCACTTTAGGAGATACTACTAAACTCTTAAATAATATTATGGTTAATTATTCTCAATGGCACACCGAAAGATTTACTAATAAAAAGGTGCATGCGATAGAAGAAATTAATATTTTGAGTGGAAAGATGGATGAACTTATGAAATTATTTGCTAATAAGAGTGTTTCTTCTGATCGTAATGATATGCCCTTGATTGAGAATAACAATGAATCTATGGATGTGAATTTTGTTGGTAGGAACAATTTTGGTAACAACGCGTATAGAGGAAATTTCAATCCTAGACCTTATCCTAGTAACCCCTCTATTAATTATGGTAATTCCTACAACAATTCTTATGAAATTTATAATAAGATGCCCTCTAATTTTAAATCTAATATTAAAGAATTTATTTCTTTGCAAAAGAATTTTAATGCTATGATTGAAGAAAAATTGCCTAAGATTGATGATTTGGCTAGGAACGTTCATAGAATTGCTCTTGATGTTGATTCTTCGAAACTTCGATCTATTCCACCTAAGGACATCTCCAGCCGCGCCCCCAACAGGGCCCCCCAGGTCAGTTTTTCGGCGCCGGCGCCGAAAAAACGGCCCAGTCGCGCCCCCAAGACGCCGAAAATCGCCAGTTTGGACCTTTTTTCCGCTCGGCGGTCACAAGCCGAACCCGGCGTGCTGGGGAGCAGTTGGGGGCTCCGGCGCTAGGGAAAAGCACGCCTGGCCCACACCGACAGGGGAAAAGTCAAGGTTTTTTTCCCCGACTCGCCTCGCACCCCCCGCGCCCTCGGCCACCACTAGCTATTTCCCGGCGACGGCCGCCGCCCTAGCTACTGTCCTCTCCCACACCAACGCCGCCGCCCCCGCCCCCGTCCTCGTCCGCCTTAGATCTCCACCGCCGCCGACGACCCCCATCGGTGTCGATGGCGCCCGGTGCGTCGAGGTCAACGTCGCCTCCTTCCATAGTCGTGCGAGGTCGAATCCTCGGCTCCCTCCCTTCGACACCACCGACGGTGTGTCGAGGTCGATCCGTCGATGTCGCCCCCCTCTCCCGCACCAGACCCCGCGGAGAAGTCCGAGCCTCCTCCATTGGCCTGCGAGCGTGGCGATGACAAGCGCTAGAGGAACCGTTGCTGCTTGGCTCCTCCGCTGTCTCAGGGTCGTCGCGCCACCACCATGCTGTCGCGCTCCTATTCTCCACGGCCCTCCACGGCTCAGCGCTGACGAGGACCGACGGGATCCCCGCCACTGCTTCCTCCACCCAGCGGCGAGAGCTGTGCCCGCTCTTCACTACGCCGGCACACCACGCTGCTCAGATCCGTCATGGTGGAAACCCGATACAGGTGGCCTTCCTTCAGATCTTTTTTGGTTTCTGTCGAATTTGTCAGCTGCTCGGAGGAGGTGAGGCTGTTATTCTTTTTTGTTTGATGGGAGTTATTCCCAACTTATTGTTTGGTCAATTTTGTTCTTGCTACCATGGACAGCCAGCCACCATGGCCTCTGAACTTTTGTCTGTTCGTGAGCTTGGAGAGCTAACACTTCGCTTTTTTGTGCCTATATTTGGCCACATTGTTTCTTAGCAAATATTCATCATCTAACATTATACATATGATTCTCTGTTTTGCCACTCAGAGGAAGTGAGTAGAATACGTAGGGAAAAAGAAGAAGGAAACAACAGTCTTGCAAGCTAATAAAGAAACAGTAGCTTGCTCACAAAATTTCCATGAGTGGTAACGCTTCTCTTCACACATATAATCTGTTTTTCACCACTAATAATTAGAAACTACAGGATTGTAGACACAGAGTCATCACATTGGTTAACAAGTGATTTATTTGAGAGGAACACAAGTGAATTTTACCTTAGTTATGCCAGTTCTATTTTCTTTCAGAAAATCCTTTTTATGTATTGATGGTGGGACTTGGGATTAAACATATACATGTGTGGAAGCTTCTCTTTGCATAATTTTGTTACTGATGCATCTATATTTTTCCTCTTAACATGGGGCTCTTTTCAAAAGGAAGCACCTCATGTGTGAGAATTGGTTGTATTTACTATTTTCTATACAACCTGAATGTACTAGAAGGATCAACATTCATGAAACTATAACCACCCATAGTAATCTTGCTATTGATATATACACACTGAAAGTCTAAAGACATGCTAGTAAAAGCTACTTTCTTTGAAAGCAGCAATACCATTTATATTCAATGGGACTGCCATTGCCGCACCTTTGATTGCTTTTTGATCTTGCTATACATATATACACACTGGAAGTCTGAAAATATGCTGGCAAAAGCTACTTGCTTTGAAAGCAGCAATAAGGTTTATATTCAGCGGGACTGCAATTGTGACACCTTATAGCTACAACTCCTCTTGAAATTGAATTGTGAAAGGATGTGTCATATTGGAAGTGAAACTGTGTGCATGTAAGCTCTAATCAAGTTCTTTCGGTAAAATTCAACTTTTTTTACGACATAGTAACACAGTTATGTTTGATGGCCATGAAGGCATCAACACAAACACGTGTTTTTAATTCACTCATTTATTGTATGGTTTTGAATCATGTTAGACACATCCCAGTTTTGGAATTGAACTGTCTAAACATACAGACACCTATTATCATGCTAGCACACAGTTTTCGCCGAACGACTCCACCGGCGACCACCATCCTCCGTGGAACGCCTTCCCTCATCGCGAGCTAGCGTACTCTCCGAGCAGGCCTCCTCCCGGCAAGCTTCACCGAGCACCAACCTGCAGGTCCACATCCTCCACGTTCTCTGCAATGAAGCAACAGAGCATCTACCCTCCGCAACGTTCTTCCCCTGGATCAATAGCGCTGCCTCCTTTTCCCCTTTATTTGTCACGTGAGATTTCATATTTTGTGCCTTTTTTCTTCCGAGCTAGTTCTACTGTCATCACCAAAAGAGCAGGCCAGCAATTTGGAATATCTGATATAGTTGTTAGCTTGTCCTGCTACGAAATGTGTAAAAGTGTAATAGTCTTGAAATGGTTCTAAAAATGGAACTAAAAAATAAACATAGATGAACACTAGTACTGTTAGTAGCCCTTCAGATCGAAGGACAAGGACCATTGTTGATTAATAAGTGCATAGCTTAATTAGATTCGCTGACACCTGACTAAGTTGTTGAGTTGAGCTATGGAGTTCATTTTAATTTGAGAAGAAAGCTAATCATTTTAAGTCTTCAGTCCACCTGTTTAGTCCACCTGACTAAGTTGTTTAGTTGATGCCCCAAAGTAGAACCATCTTTGTTTGTGTTGTGCGAAATACGATATGTGTACAGAACAGGTGCTGTGCTTTTATGGTATAGATGATGACATTCTTACTGCTATTTTGGTTTTTATATTTTCTGAAATGACATGTTTCAGTTCATTATATTCTGTTGTGTGATGGCATTCCTTCTCCATATTGTATTTCTTGTTGCCTGTACTAGATACGGGTGATATGCATTTTGTTACTACATTTTTTCCTTAATAGAAGTATACTTTCTGTCGCATGTTAGGCAATTTTAGTGAAACTGGTCAAGAATTGACAAGAGTAGGATGGATAAAGCTAGAAGTACACAAGCATATATTGATGGGGTAAAGAAATTCATAAATTTGCGAAGTGACCTGACCTGAGAGGCGGGGTGGCTTGGCGGCTGCCAGCGACTTCCGAGCAGGTGGGCAAGAGCAGCAATCTTGACCTGTTCCGTCGGCGCAAGTAATCGGTTCCTCGATGCTTCCTTTCACCCCACAGTATACGCGTACAGTGCTGCATTACCTTGTCATTCCTGGAGACTCTGTACAAATGTTTATCTCAGTGCAAGAAAAAGAAAGATTTGAACTGAGCATGTTTTGCCTATTTGCACATGACAGATTTTTGGCTTCGAGCTAGAACTCAGTGTTAAACTCTACTATGTACAGTACATAATTTCAGCCTTGTTATGGCATATAAAATGGATCCCAGTATTAGTTTTGGCTTGCTACACTGTTAGAGGGTATTCTCTTCAATGAATTCTATTAAACACAAGCTAAGATGCATGAGATACAGAGAGAAATCAGTAACCAACTGTTATTTCATTAGTTTTTTCTTCTATATACATATGATATACACTATATATACGTAGTTTTTAAAATTGATGTGGGCCTGCCCCTGCCTATTTGCACAGAGTTTTGCCTATTTGTACTGTGGTACTATGTATAGTACAGAGTTTTGCCTACTTGCACTACCGTATTGTGTATAGTACAGAGTTTTGCCTATTTGTACACAGCTTTGACTATTTGTTCAAAATAGTACTGTATAGAGTATTGCCTATTTGTAGAGTTTAACTCAGTGGAAAAAAATTGATTCGAACTCAGAGTACTAAATTAACTCCAGAGATGATGCTATACATGTTTAACTCAGTTTTAGTCATTGCTTTTGCAAGTCAATTGTACAGGTTCCTGTTTTCCTTATTTGCACATGAAGATATTGTATGTGTACTTCAAACAATTCCTACTTGATCTAATGATGTAACATTGCTTGCTGTGATGATGAAGTGATGCACATTTAGAAGAGTTCTATTTATGCCGATGAGTTAAACTGCAGCATGTCAAAATCTTTAATGTGCTAATTTAAAATCTGAAACGTGAGCTCCATTTTGAGTTTCTTATTTGTTGCAGGTTTCCCTACAGAAGTTGATGGGGGTTTCGAAGATCTTCAAGCTGCTGAAGATTTGGGAGATTCGGAAGATCTTTAAGCTATTGAAGATATGGTAGAGTGATTATGCTTTGTTTGTGGAACCTGTACACTTGCTCTGCTCATTTTGCCAGTTGTTAGGCCACAATATGCTCATTTTGGTTGTGTGGCACCCCAGAAACATATGTTCTTTTGTGGCACACATGTAGAAACATATATGTATTGTACCTTTTGTGGCACAACCTGCTTATATATATATATATATATATATATATATATATATATATATATATATATATATATATATATATATATATATGGTTGTTATGTTAATTTATCGAATTGACTTTAAGGTTTTGGAGTGAAGTGTATGAATGAGACATGTTACTTTGATTGAAGTGTATGGATGAGACATGTTACTTTGATTGAAGTGTATGGATGAGACATGTTACTTTGAGTGAAGCGTATGTATAAATTGTGTAATATGTACTGATTGTTTGAACATAATGAATGAATATTACATTAGGGATACCTATAACTATTTGGTAGTGAAATCTATGTGCCGGCATAAAAACTGCCGGGTAAACGAGCTTCTACAGGCAGTTGGACTGCCGGTAATTGATGTCTCATGTACTTTGACCAATCTGCCGAGAGAAAACAAACTGCTGGCAAATAGACGGGCAAGGGCAAGGAAACTGCCAGCAAAAAATTATATGCCGGGAGAAGTTATCCCCGGCAGCCGTTCTCATGGCAGTTCTATCTGCCGGGGGAAACACTGTCCTGGCAGTTTATCTACCCTTGAAAGTGCTTTCTCCCGGCAGTTTTTCTGTCCTTACATCAGTGTTGTGGTGTAGTAAGTGCAAAGATGCTTTTATCTCTAAGTATTTTCCTCCCGCTAAGATCATCTCTTTCAGAAACGATATTATGAATTTTAAGCAACTTGATCATGAACATGTTGCACAATTTTGGGAGAGAATGAAATTAATGATACGTAATTGCCCTACTCATGGTTTGAATTTGTGGATGATTATACAAAAAATTTATGCCGGATTGAATTTTGCTTCTAGAAATCTTTTAGATTCGGCCGCGGGAGGCACTTTTATGGAAATCACTTTAGGAGATGCTACTAAACTCCTAGATAATATTATGGTTAATTATTCTCAATGGCACACCGAAAGATCTATTAATAAAAAGGTGCATGCGATAGAAGAAATTAATATTTTGAGTGGAAAGATGGATGAACTTATGAAATTATTTGCTAATAAGAGTGTTTCTTCTGATCCTAATGATATGCCCTTGATTGAGAATAACAATGAATCTATGGATGTGAATTTTGTTGGTAGGAACAATTTTGGTAACAACGCGTATAGAGGAAATTTCAATCCTAGGCCTTATCCTAGTAACCCCTTTAATAATTATGGTAATTCCTACAACAATTCTTATGGAAATTATAATAAGATGCCCTCTGATTTTGAATCTAATATTAAAGAATTTATTTCTTTGCAAAAGAATTTTAATGCTATGATTGAAGAAAAATTGCTTAAGATTGATGATTTGGCTAGGAACGTTCATAGAATTGCTCTTGATGTTGATTCTTTGAAACTTCGATCTATTCCACCTAAGGGCATCTCCAGCCGCGCCCCCAACAGGCCCCCCCAGGCCACTTTTTCGGCGCCGGCGTCCAAAAAACGGCCCAGTCACGCCCCCAGGACGCCGAAAATCGCCGGTTCGGACCTTTTTTCCGCTCGGCGGTCACAGGCCGAACCCGGCGCCACTAGTAGAAAAAGGGTCAAACGTGAAGCACATTAGTGCCGGTTTGAATTTGAGCCGGCACTAATGGTACCATTAGTGCCGCTTCGAACGGCTATGCATTAATGCCGGTTCGTGTTGAACCTTTAGTACCGGTTCGTGCCACGAACCGGTACTAAAGGGGTGATGGCAGGCTGGCGTCAGGCCGGGGCCCCACGATCACCTTTAGTACCGGTTCATGTCACAAACCGGTACTAAAAGGCTAACCTTTAGTACCGGTTTGTGCCACGAACCGGTACTAAAGGGGTCTGACCTATAGTACCGGTTTGTGACACAAACCGGCACTATAGGGCAATTTTCAAACTCCCCCCCCCCTGTGTGTCGCCATTTCAGTTCTGAAAAAATCAAAAGAAAATGATAAAAACTTCAAAAAATAAAATCCTTCGAGAGGTAGTTATATTACTACATCTACTAGTTAGGAAAATTTGAAAACTTAAATTTGGACATGTTTTGCAAAAAGTGTAGGGAAAATGTAAAACGACTATAACTTTTGCATACGATGTCGGAAAAAAACGTATAATATATCAAAAAATTCAGCACGAAAATCCGCATCCGATGGAGACTGCCTACGACCTGTTTGCAATTTTTTAGAATCCTCAAATTCCAAAAGGAAAAAAAGATATGGTCAAATTTAAGTTTTTTTATTTTTTTTGTTAAATCTGGTCAAACTACTTATTCAAGAAGTATTAATGTTACTACATAATTATTCAAGAATATTAGTGTTACTAAATAATTATTTCAATTTTTTGAATTTTGGTCAAATCTGGTCAAACTATGGTCAAACTGTGGTCAAACTATGGTCAAACTTATTCAAGAAATATTAGTGTTACTAAATAATTACTGTTTTTTAGAATAATAGTTTCAAACTCAAACAGTGAAATGTGTGACTTCATGCTCAAGCTAAACTCCTGAGGGTTAATAGGATTGGCATCTTACTATTGTCAGGAAAACAACAAGTACAGACTTGGAAATGAAGGAGAATAGAACCCGAAAGTTAAGCGTGCTCGGGCTGGAGTAGTGAGAGGGATGGGTGACCGGTCGGGAAGTTAGATGATTTGGAATGAGTGATCCACACTTGAGCAGTTAAGAGAGGTGATTAGAGACTAAATCACCAAATAATTCAGAAAAATTAAAAATCGAAAAAATAAAAATAAAAATAAATTTCCAAAATTTTCAAAAAAAAACCTTTAGTACCGGCTGGTAACACCAACTGGTACTAAAGGTCCCCCATACCAGGGCGCGAGCTCACGCCACGTGGTGACACTTTAGCGCCGGTTCGTGCCGAACCGGTACTAAAGGGGGGGGGTTTAGTGCCCACCAATTAGTGCCGGTTATGGAACCGGCACTAAAGGCCCTTACGAACCAGTTTTAAAGCTCCGTTTTCTACTAGTGCGCGCTGGGGAGCAGTTGGGGGCTCCGGCGCTAGGGAAAAGCACGCCTGGCCCACACCGACAGGGGAAAAGTCAAGGTTTTCTTCCCCCGACTCGCCTTGCACCCCCCGCGCCCTCGGCCACCACTAGCTATATCCCGGCGACGGCCGCCGCCCTACTCCGCTAGATAGCCATTCCCCGCTGGAAAATAGCAGCGCTTCGCCGCGGCAGCCCCTCCGACAGGGGAAACTTTGACTTGCTGTGTCATCTTGCACAACATGATCATCGAGAGCGAGCAAGAAGACCCAGTGTTTGACACTGAACCATACTACAGGCAGGGTCCTCTAGACGAAGTTGATCACCAGCTACCGGCAACTTGGACTGCCTATCTCAGTATGCGTCAGGAGATCCGAGACGCACAGGTGCATCATCAACTGCAGAAAGATCTGATTGAGCACCTATGGAGGCTCAAGGGGGGCGCCGTGTGATGAAATACGAGTTTTTATTTGTTGAACTATATAATTTGTATTGAACTATTTGTTGTTGTACTATTTTGTTGAAGTATTTGATTTTTCTGTGATGAAATATGTGATAGAAATAATTGTGTTGATAATTGAACGCCGAGACACACCGAAACCACGCCGAATATGGGCCTATTCTCGCCCATATGGGCCCTTTATTCGCCGAAATTGGGCTGCAAAGTGGGCCAATTCGGCGCCTGGGGGCGAGCTGGGGGCGACGACTGGGCGCAAAACCGCCCCCAGCGCCGATTGTATCGCCGGCTTGTCCCCAGGGGGCGATTTTTATGTGTCCTGGGGGGGCCAACGGCTGGAGATGCCCTAAGCATGATATCAATGAGTCTCTCAAAGCCATGAGAATTTCCATTGATGAGTGCAAAGAAAGAACCGCTAGGACGCGTGCTATGAAAGATGCCTTTATTAAAGCGTGTTCTTCTAGTTCCTATGAAAATAATGATGAAGATCTAAAAGTTATTGATGTGTCCCCTATTAAATATTTTTTTTGCAATATTAATATTTGTTTTACCTAGAAGGCGTTCTAAAAATTTGGAGTATTTAGATCTTGATGATGAAATCGATAAAAGTTGGATTAAAAGAAATAAAACCCTAGATGATGCTAAAACCACTATATTGGATTTCAAGGAATTTAATTATGAAAATTGCTCTTTGATTTATTATATTTCCTTGTTGCAATCCTTGCTAAAATCTCCTCATGCTTATAGTCAAAATAAAGCCTTTACCGAACATATCGTTGATGCCTTGATGCAATCTTATGGAGAAAAACTTGAGTTGAACGTTTCTATCCCCAGAAAACTTTATGATGAGTGGGAACATACTACTAAAATTAAAATTAAAGGTTATGAGTTTTATGCTTTGTGTGATTTGGGTGCTAGTGTCTCTACTATTCAAAACTTTGTGTGATTTGCTAGATTTCCGTGATTTTGATGATTGCTCTCTAAAATTGCATCTTGCGGATTCCACTATTAAGAAACCTATGGGAAGAATTAATGATGTTCTCATTGTTGCAAATAGGAATTATGTGCCCATAGATTTTATCGTTCTTGATATAGATTGCAATCCTTCTTGCCCTATTATTCTCAGTAGACCTTTCCTTAGAACGGTTGGTGCAATTATTGATATGAAGGAAGGGAATATTAGATTTCAATTTTCATTAAAAAAGGGCATGGAACACTTCCCTAGAAAGAAAATAAAATTACCATATGAATCTATCATGAGAGCCACTTATGGATTGCCTACCAAAGATGGCAATACCTAGATCTATTCTTGCTTGTTATGCCTAGCAGGGGCGTTAAACAATAGCGCTTGTTGGGAGGCAACCCAATTTTATTTTTATTCCTTGCTTT